AGGTGAAAGAGAATTTAACCAGTAGTTCCCTACACTCAGATATTTAAGAAACACAAACTGAATAAATGACACTTCTTTGGGAAACTGGCAAAGCTGTATTAAGTGGTAAGATCTAGCCTGAGTGTCAGACTGAAGCTCCCAGAACCTTCAGTCTGACATCGTCTCCATTGAAGGCGATTTACAAGGGGGAGGGAATTTGATTTTTCCCTAACCAATCAGTAGAGATCAATGACTCACCCAGAATCTGACGTCATTAGTATCCATGTCTTGGGGGTGCCGAAAACAAGTGAGCATTGCCCATTTAAAATGTCTCCATTGTCGTGTACGCCCAGCTGCATCGCCGTTAAATCCAGTTTAGCAGCTTCCTTAATTTGGTCCTCCATTAACACGAGTAGTGGCGAAATACCTCTATAGCATTGTTAATGTGGTCTGTAGGATCTGTAGCGGTCGCCATTAGAAATTTGGGTTTGAGGAATCATTTGTGAACTGGATAAGGGCACTATACACTTCACCAATGGCCACTGTCACAAACGGGTTGATTTCACATAACTTCAGCCTAACACAGTGGGACCAGGCATCCTCTCTCTCCATCCCTTTTAGCAACATTCATTGAACCTCTAGCAGCAGCACTCAGCAAAATAGCAACATCAAAGGCATTAAGATGTCTACAGAACATACAGTTATCCTTTATGCAGATGATGTGTTATTACTCCTTCAGGACCCTTACTCAACCCTGAAAGAATGCATTATAGTTATTAAAGCTTTATTTTCAGAACTCTCTAGCTACACTCTGAATTGGTCAAAATCCACCATCCTACCACAGGGTATGAATGCAAGGGATGTGAAAACTCAAGCATCATCTTTTCACCTTATCACAGGCAATGTTAAATATTTAGGTATCAATCCCCCGAGCTGACAGAACTCTTCAATCTAAATTTCACACCATTACTTAAATCAATACAAGATGACTTAAATCGCTGGACCAACCTACCAATGTCCCTTCCCGGAAGAAAAGCAACAATTAAAATGTCAGTCCTATTTTCAGTTATCCCTATTCTTCCTTCAACTATCTCAAAATACTACTACGCTGCTATGCTAAACCTGGCTTGTGAAAGCTCATCAACTAAGGCTAGCGAGCCCGCAACCCCTACATATTGAATTAGACGTGATAAATGTGCCTAGACTTCCCTGAGTGAGTGTGACCTCTCCTGTCTGGAGGAGGGTTGACTCACTGCCAGGCTCTTCCTCCTCGAGACCAGCTCGCTTGAACCAGATGACTCCACTGGACACCATTTGGGTGCCGTTAAGTCGGACCAGTCGGCCAGCTTGCTCTTCTTCGTGGTTGTTCAGAGTGAAGGTGTATTTACATGGATAATTTATGGTGGCGTCTCCAACACTTTCTCAGTCTTTTTTGTCTTCAGAATGGCGTCGGTGTCTCCCCCGTGGCGTGCCCGTTCAGCTCAAAGGCCTCCCAAACTCTCCCACCAGGTGTGGCTGCTAATGAGTCATTACCACAGGTGTGATGTCAGTGCTGACCCTGCCTCCTACTACCTTCCTAAACCACACCCACAATTATTATTATCAACATCATTATTGGTGATGATGATCATGATGATGATGATGATGATGATGATGATGAATCTAATGACAATTTGCTGCATTCAGCGTGAGACAAAAATGCACCAACCCAGATATTTTCATTGTCAAGCAATATGGTGCACCAAACTTGCACAAAATTTGGATTTCGTCTCTTAAATTAATCTGAGTTACTGAAATTAGTTAACTATTTTCAATCCTGCCATCTTAAAAATGTACCAATACACAGGCATCCTCACTTTCAGGCCATATTCGACACAACACCGAACCCCTCACTCTACAGCCAACACTATACACTTGTTTCTTTTCTCCCCACTCCCATCCTCTCACTTTGTCTTTTTTTCTCCTGTTTTGTTTTTGTTTTGATTGCTGTTTTAAATATATTAAAATCTATCAATTTATTTATTAAATCGGTTGCATACTCATTTATCTACTACTACTCATTTATCTCCCCCGCTTGTCTTGTGCTTTGGTATTTTGTTACTTTCACGTTGCTCACTTGTATCCCACTATTTGTTGGTCATTTGTTTTGCGTGGTTGGTTCTCATTTCATACTTCTATAAATAAATCACACACACAAAAAATAAAGAAAATAAAAAAGAGGAGGAAGAAAGAAAAAAAGGCAATAATGCTGAAACATCCACCTGCACACACAGTAAGTCACATCCTATTAAGGATGTAGTATGCCCAACACCTTCCCTCCCCACACCTCAGTTTGACACACCTACTTAGGGGGCTGATTCTACTTAAAAGGAGCCAAGTCAGTCTGTAACTTACATTTAAGACAAGGCCACCTGCAGAAAAGAAATGGCTTCTGTGAAGTTGTTTAGGATGCAGTTGTTGAGGATCCTCTCACTTACCGTCATGGGTATGTTCCTTACCTTTGTCCTTTGGGAGACTGGCTCCAACAGGCACTCATTGCCTGATATGAGAATACCACAGCAGTTCTCTGTGGACCTGCCTGGCTGCTTGGCTATCATCAGTGGAAATGTGGAGGGCAAGAAAGGTGATTTAGAAGTGCTTCTGGGATCCAGGAAAAGACAGAAACCTTTATCGGAGGACTTCTACTTGAACGTGACAAAGGACTGTCCATCTTACATTGTCAAGAGAGGTTTCATCACAGAGCCTCTCAGTGAAGAGGAGAAAGATTTTCCCATCGCCTACTCCATGGTGATCCATGAGAAGATTGAGATGTTTGAGCGACTTCTTCGATCTGTTTACTCTCCTCAGAACGTCTACTGTGTGCATGTGGACCAGAAATCCTCTAAAGAATTTCAGAAGGCTGTGGAGGCAATCGTTTCCTGCTTTCCTAATGTGTTTATTGCCAGTAAATTAGAAAGAGTCGTCTATGCCTCATGGTCCCGTGTGCAGGCAGATTTGAACTGCATGAAAGACCTTCTGGACTCAAACGTCCAGTGGAGGTACCTGCTGAACACCTGTGGGACAGACTTCCCCATCAAAACCAACGGAGAGATGGTTCAGGCACTGAAGGTCCTCAACGGGAAAAACAGCATGGAGACGGAGGCCACGAACGACTACAAGAAAACCCGCTGGCTGTATCACTACAATGTAACGGACTCTGTAGTAAGGACAGATGTGAAGAAGAGTCCTCCACCCATTAGCAGCCCAATGTTCACAGGAAATGCTTACTTTGTGGTCACGAGAGCCTTTGTGAAACATGTGATGCAGGACAGAGAGGTTCAGCAACTCTTGGAGTGGGAGAAAGACACATTCAGCCCTGATGAGCACTTGTGGGCCACCCTACAGAGGATGCCCTCTGTTCCTGGATCAACGCCTGCCAGTCGCAAGTACGATGTGTCAGACATGAATGCCCTCGCTCGTTTAGTGAAGTGGGGTGATATAGCAGGTGATGTGAAAAACGGAGCCCCGTACTATCCTTGCTCTGGTGCATACAGAAGGATGGTTTGTGTGTATGGAGCCGGGGACCTCCCATGGCTCCTGAGACAACACCACCTCTTTGCAAATAAGATGGACCCTGAGGTTGATGATATTGCTATTAGATGTATGGAGTCAGTTCTGCGTTTCAAAGCTTTAGGCCATGACCCACTGTTAAGGGATGAATACTCCACTATTTAAAGCTGATAATCATTTGAAATGTGAAATATAGACTGTCTCATTGACATGCTGTTGCTGAGGTCACAGCTTTGGTCACCGTTTACTTCCTATCAGGTATCAAGGAAACTACAAGTTCAACAATTATTAGTTTATTGTTTTTGTTTTTTAAGGTTTCCTTGTCAGCTATTGCACAACAGTCAAACAGAAAATGTATTTGATTTACAATGTTTACATTGTCAAGTTTGAACTGGTCTATAATGTATTATATGTCAACATTTTATAGATAATAATGGGTAAATATATTCTAGCAATCATATTCATGTGTTCTATATTATATTGTTATGGGTTTTATATATATTATTATATTTTTTCCCTTTTTATTTTCCAAAAAACATCTATCTTGTAATGACCTTTTTTAAAATATTTTGCGGCTGTTGTTAGTATATTATTATGATTGTATGTATTTTATTTTATTTTATTTTATTTTATTTTTAACATTCTTATATTATAGTCAAAGTATTGCTATGGATCTCTTAACTTCTTATAATATTCCTGTCTGTTATGTATATGATTTCAATGAAATCTGTATTTATGATGCCATCTAGTGGAGTTTGGTGATTATTATTTAAATATTGTCAAAATGTAATTGGTGTTTGGTCACTTTACACTTTCAGTACTGCCATATTTTTTATGTATATTTCTCTTGTTAGCACTGGAAAACTGGTGTTAAATTATATATAAAAAAGTACAAAACAATGATGTGGATCCATGACTTTACTTGGAGAAAATGTTCCATTAAGACTTACATCTTTGTTCAGATTGTTGCGCTCACAAATGTTTGCCCTCCACAATAATAAACTCAACCTTTTCGTACAAGAAATGCAGCACAAAGTTCCTCACAATAAGGGCAGTATAAGCACACGTGAAAATAGACATAATTGACATAAAACAGACAAGGCAGTTCAATATGAAAGGACATTTAAAACAGTTTAAAGCATTCATAAAACCATAAAATTGTAAAACTAGAAATCATAAACTCAAGTAAGATTTTAAAAGAGTTGCAGCAGCGTGAGGCGTAAAAAGAAAGAGTTTCAGACCAGTATCAGGAAAGTCAGAGGTAGTTAAAGGCTTAAGTGAATAGATACATTTTTAGTCTTCTTTTAAAAATATTTAGAGCTGGCTCCTCTGATATCTATAGGCAGTGTGTTCCAAAGTCAGAGGACACATTCAAGAGAGAGGTAGAACATTAAACTTTATTTCCCTCAGGCAAGATTTTGATAGAAAATGTCAGCAGTGAACAGTGAAAAAAAAACTGTCAAAAACTTGTTCTATGAAATGCCACTCGACTGGTCAGGAACCTAAAATACAGTTTAAAATCAGAGCAACCATAAAAATATATAATTTTTTCTCCTTTGTCACCTTTTGAATATAAATATATAATATCTTTATGCAAAGAACTAAGTCTTCAGCTACTGCTAAACATGGAAGTGGGTTTGCAGTGAGTCATGCAAAGAGCTGTGAGAGTGGACAAGCCGAGTGTTCAGTGAGGGCGAGTTACTGAACCCTGTGAGGACATGGTTACGGTGCAACCACAAAACCACAGTGACTAGGACAACCTACTTCCCTGTTGTTCCACCCCATTCAGTTGCAAAAACTGTTCTAACTTGTTCTTGATATGAATTAATAATTCAGCATCACAGTGAAGACAGTACCTGGGCTATAAAATGGGCTACACAGGTACGTTTAAAACCAAATTCAGATAGCTGATATTATTGTGAGATAATAGATAGAGAACAAATTTAACAAGAGTTGACTTTGAAATGAACTTCACAGAATTGGCTCAGAAATGGGATTCAGTTAGTTAAACAATCACCAAGCCACCTATTTTTGGAAACCAGTCAACCAGCTCCTCAGCCTGCTTTGAAGAGAACATCCGAAATCTACTGAGAGGGAAATGTGGGACATTTTGGAACAGGAAAGTTGCCAGTTTTGGCCAGAAGGTAACAGTGAATCATCCGACTAAAAACATGAGGTGTATTGGTGCATTTCTGAAAGCCAACGGATCATTTCGTCATCTAGATGCAGTTTTTTTTTTAGTAATTTTGGCACCTGTTGAAATGTTAAAAGAACTCAGGTAGTGCACAAAGCTACACTGTGCTTTTAATGTATAATACATAAAATAAATAGATATTTATAGTTTGCTTTTGGATCTCTTCTCCATCAGAATACACACAGTGTAAGTTTCAAGTGAGTCAGACTCATAAGCACCGACATCTTGTCTACACTGGCCACACAGGAAGAGCAGAGTGTTGCTGTAGCACCACCTACAGAGGAAATGCAACTACAGTTTGCAGGATCAGTCAGAGCTGATGCTGTGTATGCACTGAACATTACGAGAATACGCAAGACTGTAGCGGTACCATATTTGTGGGCCCAACTGTTTTATTGTTCAACACATTTTATTCATAACAGTTTATTTATACACTGAAATTACAAATGGATTGGGGTGTTATGTAACTTTATGGCGATGGTGAATAATATCTTCACACATGGGTATCAGCAAGACAGAAAATTAGTAATCGAATGATAAGTAATTAGGACATGTGATCTTTGGTTAATGGTCCTTTCATCATTATTTACAAGCATGTCAGAGTTATCTTTGCAATGGTCCGACAAGCTGTTGGAGCTAGCATGATGCCCACACCCTCACTAACTGCACTCCCTAAAGAAATATCATCACATTTTTGGAAAAATGAAACAGTGAATCCAGAGAGAAGCAGACAGAGGGGTCTACAGTCTGTGTTTGAAGGATATATCCAGGATGTCAAACTGACTCAGCAGCAACAACAGGTTAATAAGACAAAGATAGTTAGAAGCTAAAGCCGAACTATAGGCTACAGATCACAGTGTAAAAGTGAACCACCACATCACTGCTGATCACCACATAAGACAAGGAATATAAAGGGAAACTTTGCTGATACTGAACCAGCTGTGTGGCATCACAGTGTGTGCAGATGAACGGTGTCTGGCTTTCCCCCCCGTGCCACTGGCAGCAGTCCAACCTCTGTCACCGGACTGTTGGGGAGCTCCGGGGGGAAGGCAAACATCATTCTTCTGCACACACTATGATGACACACAGCTGATTGAATATCAACAAAGTTCCCCTGCTTCCCTTCACTGGTTCCTGTACAGCAGGGTCGGTCTTTGTTTCACTGTTATACTCATTAAAAAGCAAAAGCAGCATGTGTATACATTCAGTAGGCTATATCTTCAGTAGCTAGCTAGCTAACCCTACACTTTTCAGGGTTTGATTTTGGTTTTGGAACAGGGAAGAAACGTAGGCTATATCTTTTTCCAACCTCTCCAGGTAACGAGTATCATTAATACACGACGTGCCCCAGGCACAACATTTAGCTCCAAATCCACAAAACCTGCCTGAACATGAAGGAAATCTGAAACAATTGCATTAGAGTCAATGGAGCACAACTGTGCTGTTGTCAGACCCTGGTCTGAGCTGGCCGATGCTACGCTATGATTGGCCAAACTGCGTCCAGGGGCGGGACTTAGCAAAGGGTCAGTTGCATGATGCTGACCTCCATGGCTGATAACCCTCTTGTAAGGTTCGATGGCCTTCATGTCCACTCTGTGCTCCTGGTCTCCGATACGAAACACCCTCCAGCGTCGTCCCTCCTCCCTCTCGTCCGCGGCGGAGTACTCCTGCACTGACTCCACACCCTTCTGCAGTAGTTCTGTAGTTTTCGGCTTGGGGAGATCGTCTAAAGGAGAGGAAGCATTTTAAACCCACAGCTTGGATGCGACACACCTTGGCTGTCTGATCTATTTTGATTAAATCATTTACTAAATGTTCAGATCACCCAATAATTCATAAGTGAACTTTTCAGTCACATGCATTTTAATTAACAACCATTAACATTACATTTAATTTTTTGCTTTTATCTTTTGTATGTGGACGGCATGCTTCCTCTCTGAATCAACACCAACAATCACATTTTAACCTCCATGTCTCCCTTTTATTTGAGATAATTTACAATTACATGATACTGGGGGACACCTTGCTATTGTTCCCTGCATGAGAAAGAAGTATGTCGAACAAATAGGGCTAAAAGATACTACGTGCTAACACTGTTTTCATTTTCATCACATGATATGAAGTTCTTACCTTCCCATTCAAACTCATTGCTGTTGTCTGAAGGTGTGTCTATGTCATCGAGGTCCAGCTCTGTGCTTTCATCCAGCTCATCAGACAGAAGAGAACCTTCGCTGCGGTCCAGTGTAATACTGATGTCTGGAGCTGCAAGCTTCTTCTTTGCCTTCTTGCCATGGTCCATTGCATAGCCTAGGGTAGATGTCAAATCATCAGTGGCATAACTGTTTGTGAGAACGATAGGCCTTCCGTGGGATAATGTTTTATGCGACTTTCCAAACACAAAAGTGATCATACCGTGGAAAGTCCTCATCCTGCCACTCCTCCTTCAGTTCGACTCCTTCCATTCTTAGGCGAGCTTCTGTCGTGGCGACTGACTCTTGGCGCTCCAGGCTGGGAATGAAAACACAAAGAGGTTATGGCCACTTTTTACGTTTATTAATATTTCATTGCTAAATGGCTCTCTTGTACTACAAATGTATTAAGATCAAGAGCAGTGCCAGTAGAGATTATCCTTGACAAACAGAACCAAACACATAATTAGTTGTCTGACAACGGCTGCTTGTGACTTGTACAATCCTAAAAGGATTATGGGGGAAATGTAGATCAGGAGTCAGATGCAATTTCTGTTCTTGGGTTAATGCGTCAGCAAATACAAACTTAGTGGATATGGACAGTGACAGTGATGGAATGCTTCTAGATGATAAATACACTTGACTAAGCTGCACAAAGGCACAGTTATACACTGCAAATAAGGGTGGGGATATGTATGTTCTGGATAGGCAGGTCACCTGTTATATTTTCCTCAACTGTAACAAACAGGGGACAGTTGAGCAGCATGAAATTTGTCCTGTAGGCTGGACTTTACTGTGCAGGACAGAGAGGTCTCCACATCCTGTCACTACTCTGTTACATATTATTCAGTCCAAAGCATGAAGAGCAGCATATAAACCCCAAAATGCAAAGACAACACAAGTGTGAGTGTGACCCACAGTAGCAGGGTGACATAAATGTGTGAGCTCAGCTTGTGTTGCACTCACCAGGTATGCTCCGACGGTGCCCTGAGCCAACATGAGGGCGCATTCCGATATCAAGAATATCTGAAGACTACATTTGCGGTGCTCCTTGTCGCTGTTTCTCTGAATTCAGTAATTTGTCTTCATACACATGACAAGCTGCAAAACAAACATCCAAACTATCCACAGGTCTCTGCCGGTAGTCTGCGCCTAAACATTCCCTCGTCATAGACGCGCAGGAACATGTGATCTCATCGTCATGGTCCTTCACTCACAATGACTGCTCTCTGTCTCTGCGCTCCCACCTCCCTCTCTACTACTCTCCTCCTCTGTCAGCACATGTATGGCCCTAGAGGCGCTGTGTAGCAGCATCACAAGACTAATTAACTTGCCTCTGACTCAAAAAACAAAAATCGCCACAATAGTCCTGTGGGGCCCCGTGTGCGTGCAGCACTGTTTACATACAGTAGATGTGCAGGGACATGAGTCAGGTAGTACCAGGCAGTGGGTGGAGATGGGTCAGACTGGTGTCAGGACATTAGGACTGGAAAAGCCTCCAGACTTTTGTTCTGCCTTCTGAAACAGCTGTTATTTATAGGCTTTGGAAAAGACTGTGGAAAAGAAGTTCATCCCGTTGTAGAGTTGGGGGCAGACAATCGATACAGCATAGCATCGCGATATTGTTTTGATACACTGACGCCAACTATCAATCATTTTTGCTATATACATTATTGATTTTTGCAAATACAAATTTTAATACAACTTTTGGCACTAGAATAATAAAATCAATTGCTTTTTCGGTCCACTAGATGGTGCTGATGTTTTTTTTTTATCCTGGTGAGGTCAGCAGAGGTCTCAGTCTGCACATTTAGCAGGAAGTTCAACAGAACAAAGGTGAGGGCACTGGAGAAAGAAATCAGAAAGTGTTTAAATCAGACATCAGGACTTTTTTTTTTTTAACACAAAATAACTGCAACATTTTTGGACTGTGGAGACTTAGACTGGAATTGTGTAGTTGTTTCCTTTATGAACAGTATTTTTCTTGCAGTTTCAGTGTAAGAAAGGAGCCATAGAATATTGTGTTTACAGACCAACACTGCCTCTGACTTCTCATTGTTCACTGCATGTTTGGTCCCACACAGGGTTTCACCTCCAGTCAAAAGGCTCAGGACAGTCTCTCCCTGTCTGTCTGATACCTGCAGCTGTCAGGAGTAGTTTTTGTCTCTGTCTCTAACGCTGAAACCTCAAACTCAAACATGACCTGCAACAGAAACATCTGCAGCTCTCTGTCTTTCACTCACTGAGGAGGCTTCCATAGCGAACCTTTCTCAAAGAAAATCAAATGATTGTTTCACAGTCCTCTGCATCAGCTGCTCCAGAGGCAGCTATAAACTTTTTCTCCACCAGGGGAGGTACTGGTCAAACTGCCCAGAGTAAGCAGTTGGATAAGTTAAGCAGTAGAATGAAACACTTTTGAAATGAGATGAGAAACTGTGAGTTCTTGTTCACTGCATTTCCCTATTCATGTCTTAACAAATCTCCTAACTGATTTCAGAGGTTTCTTTGAGACATCAGAGGGGTCATGTGAAGCCTGCGATAGCTCCTGTTTGTCATGTGATGGGATCAAGTCCCAGTGTCTGTCCTGCCCTGATGGCCACTACTTGGAAAGTGGTATGTGTCGACTCAACTGTTGACTCAGTGCTGTTCTCCCCACTGCGACGTTTGCACAGATGACAGGACCTGTTTCAGTGAGTTATTGTCTGTGTGGGAAGCTAAAAAGAGAAATATTCCAAGTGGGTGACATTTGAAAATGAACTGCATCACATCCTGAAATCTCTTGTTACAACTTTACCTCTCCTCCTAAATATCATTTCAGAATGCAGCTTCCTCTACCTGATGCTGAACGGTGTGTGTAAGGCTAGTTGTCCCATGGGCTATTATGAGGACATGGAGGAGGGCCGCTGCGGTCAGTGCCACCCAACCTGTGGCAGCTGTTCAGGGCCCCTGGCAGATGACTGTGAGACCTGCTCGACATTTAGTCCCAAACTCTATAAGGGTGCATGCTCCAAAGACTGCCCCACTGTTACTTACTATGACACTGAAGCTATGGAGTGTCAAGGTGAGTCTCTCAGTGCGTACAGTGGATGTGACTTGATTAGATTTTAAAGCAGTGTTGTATGGGCAGGGTTAGCTAGGTCTGATTGTATATGTACAGGGGCATCTCACCTTTGGAAACTTTATTTAAAATAGTCAATGCGTCACCTGTTTGAGATATAGAAAGTGGTATATGTGGCTCAAGACACAAGTGTGGTTGGAATGGTTGTAGGAATTATAACCATCTGGACTGAGGATTGTGGTCGTAGTTCTGACCCTTGATAATGTCAATTGTTGGAAGATGGTTAAAAGATAAAGTAGTAAAAAATAACATAAAACATAAATGAAGTGATAAATATTAGAGGAGAACAAACTGAGATTTTGCCAGCTGGTTTTGTAGAATGGAAATCCAGCATAACGGGAAGATTGTGCCTTGGCTTGTGAAAGTTAAATATAACCCAGCCAGAAAACTCAGTACCTCTGACAAAAACAGCGTTTACAATGGTATAAAAGGTTGCCTACACTCAGAAAGTACTAAATCCACAGTGTCTATAACTGCAACACTGCCATGTCTTATCTCCAAGGGCTATTCTGGCTTAGCCATAATAGAAGACAGTATTTGCTTACGACAGTTATCATGTACTAGTAAAACATTGTAGTGATCACTCCTTCTTTTGTAAATAGAGTCAGAGAGTCATACCACATTCAACTGACGCAGTCTGATTTGTTTGACTATGGGCAGAGTGCCACCAGACTTGTATGAGCTACTTGTATCAGTACACCCAGTGCGAGAGGGGACTTGTGCTGGATCCAAACACATTGTTGTGTGGCGTGACAGGTGACACAGACTGCCCACCGAGGACATACACGACGTCCAGTTCACTTGCACAGGTGGCCAGTGGCACTCACCTTCTACCTATGCCAGTCCTCAATGCCTATGTGCAGTTTCACATAGATTGACCACGTCAGTGAGTAGAAAAACGTGGGACAGGCAGAATGACTGACTGACAGAATGACACACTGACAGTTTCCGTGATTATGTACAGCATACCATACCATGACTTAGTCATACCAAAAATTAGAAAAAAACCCCAACATTCGGCCACAGGGGGAGCCACAGTGATCGGTCGCATTTTAGCCATTTTTAAGCATTTTTCTGTTGTTATAGCGCCACCCAGTTGCCAATTAGAGTTAAATTTCTCCAGTCACCTTGAGGCGTCCTGTTCTACATATCTACCAAGTTTAGTAAAAATCGATATGGCGGTTAGGCCTAGATAAGAAATTAGCTCTCTAGCTCCCCCATTTTGTTTGATGGGGTCAATAATGGAGAGGTCCCGTCAGATTATGTGTGGTCATATGCCTACAAAGTTGCGTGGTGATCGGTGAAACCCTTGAGATGTTATACACCTTTATGTGATGAGCCACGCCCTCCGCAATATTCATTGCCTTATAGAAGCTCAGTTTTAATAAGTTTTCCAACTTTTGATAAGAGGGAACTTTAGATATTGGTCCCTAGATTATGTTCACTTATCAGTTTCATGCAGATCGGTCAAACTTCCTAGGAAGAGATTGATTTTAAGTGTTTTTCAAAAAATTCAAAATGGCGGAAAATCTATATAACCAGAAGTCATGGGTTCTTGAGGCAAATTTGTTCCTCATGAGGAGAGGCATCTCTGTGCAAAGTTTCATGTCTCTACGACATAAGGGCATGAGATATGCCCATTCAAAGTTTGCAATTTCAATTGGTTGCTATAGCGCCCCCCTTTGGCCAATTGATGTAATATTGCTTCATTCGCATCCTCCCATGACCCTCTAACACTGTGCCAAATTTCACATGGATTGACCAAGTCAGTGAGGAGAAAAATGTGGAACAGACACACAGACAGACAGAATTTTCGTCATTATATAGTAAGATTATAAAAGATCAACACTTGGCGGTCGTGTATCAATACAATATTGCCACACGAAATATCACAATACTATGCAGTATCGATATATTCCCCCACCCCTCCCAGCACTGTTACTCTTGTGAGGGGCCGGGCAATGATGAATGCCAGACCTGTGCCGTCCCCAAATACTTTCACTGTGAGCATTTTCCACCTGATTGTTCAGCTGCATACTGAAGTAGTTCAGGGTGTAAATTGAACAGAAAATCAGCAGAGAAGCTGATTTTTAAAAAGTACATTTATTATTCAACCATACAACAAAGCTGAACTACACATTTCCTAACAATCAGCTCTTCAGGTACTCGTCAGGTTTATTTTTAACCTTTATGACTGATGGAATTTGAGCTTCTGCTCATTTTATCAACTCATCTTTGAAGACAATACCCTAAATACACCTTGAAAACTGTCAACTTATGTGCTGTCTTACATGCATGGAAAGTTGCATGCAAAAAATAGTAGAACTTAAAATTTCAGTCCTTGCAGCCTCTAAAATGTTTTTTAATAAGAAAAACTATTGATATTTAAGTGTGGGCACTGAAAGGAGCCCAGTTTCAGCTTCATCAACGTAATTTTAACTAACATTATTACAGAAGTTGATTTTTGAATAGCAGTTCTTATGTAAATCAATTTTCCCCCTGTTCTTAATAATTATGTGCCAAAAGAGCACATGTGTGTATTCTAGGGTTCCTGTGGATCCTTAAAAAGTTTTAAAAGGCATTACGGCAGGATCTTTGTTAATCTAAAAACAAGATCTTGATCGGCATTCAGATGTCTTAAATCAGTCTTAAAAATGCTCAGACATCGGAAGTAGGATCCCATAAAGCTTTTTTTTCTGTATAATCTCAAAATAATTGTGAGCAATTGTTTTTTTTTTTTTTTAAATTATTCATTGAATGCCTCTCACATTTACGTCCTGAAGGTCAAGATAGCCAACAACCTTCATGTTTTGTTTCCGGCTGGATGCTCAGAGCAGAGGATCCACTGTCTTCTAGTTAGCTGTCACTGTGCTGTGGACGACATGAGGAAGTGGCACTTTAACCAAGATTTTATGGCATGACTGAAACCTGTAGAAGCCAATGTATATAAGGTTTAATGTATTTTATAGGATAAGTTTTTAAAACTCTGCACAATGGGAATCAAGGCAGTGGAATCCCACATGCAGAGTCAAAGTCAAAGTATTTTATGTTACCACAAAAAATAGGGCAAGACTGTCCCTAACCCTGAGTAACTGATATTGGTTCATGTTTTTTCTTTAATTTTGGTTATTGTAAAATTGGTCTTGAATTGAATTCTGGCTGGCATTAAAAGAGTAGGACGGCATGGTACAGTGGTTAACATTGTCGCCTAAACAAAGCAGGAGGCCGACGGAACAGAGCTGGGATTCTGTTTGCCTTGTGATCACGTCTGCTCCACCTGCACCGAAGCATCGCCTAAAGATTGCCTCACTTGCTCTCCAGGACACCTGCGTCTCCTTCAACTCTGCGTCACCCATTATCCTACAAAGCTGAAGGCTCCATCTTTGTCCTAAACATACAGTAGCTATTTACTTTGTGATGAAACACAAGCTCTGTTAATGGTCTGTTGATTTTATCCCCACCCTTTATCCCCTGATCCAAAACTTTCTCTGAGTATGTTTCTTCTTCCACGCCGCTTCTATCAACTCAATGACATCTGCAAACAGTGCCACACCAGTTGTCAGACCTGCACAGATACAGACAAAGGAGCCACTGATTATAGCTCTGATCTCACTGATTATGTCCCATCCACCTGTGGTCAATATTCGTCCAGTGGGTCAATAGGCCTATTGGATTTTCACTTTTACGCAAGTTCTCATATTATGAGTTTTTATATGTGTTTGCAGATGCCTCACCTCAGGGATGTGTGACGTGTGACTGGGGCAGCACTTTAAAGGACAAAGTCTGCTATTCGGGGCGATACTTCTCGGAAAAGGTGTGCTCATTGTTACAAGCTATGTGCCATATTAGTTAATTATCATAGTAATAATATTTAATGGCAAAAGATGACAACATGTTCTCAGTCAGCTTCTTACCGTGGGTCTGACAAAGTTAGAATAGTTTTGGTTATTTCACATTAGAAATTCTTGTATTTGTGTTTTTGTCTTGGCTCCTTGAAAAAATCAATGTCACATACTTCCAGTCAGTTTGTAGCAGTATTTAATGATGTTTGCTTATGTTGCTAGGGAAATGTCAGTCAAAGCAAACCATAGCCACCCATTTCTGGTGAAGCAAATCTGTTTTATCGGGAGCAATAAGTGCTTAATCAAGGAATCTGTAGGATTTTAAAGTGTTTTTTTTTTTTTTACCTTATGGAGCATTTTTCGACATTAAACCCTACAAAGACAGATGCTGCAACTCAGAACAACAATAGCTATCAGTAAAAGGTTCGTATGTACAAATAGGTTTTCAGTCTCTGTAGCAAACAGTTCACACATTGCTGACTGGCCTATTGTCTACTATAGACTAGGGCTGCAAGTAACAATTATTTTAATTTTCAATTATTCTGACCATGATTTTCCTGATTAATCTATTAGTTGTCTGGTTTATAAGATGTCAAAAAAATTGTTGAAAAATGTTAAAGGCTGTGACCGGACTTTTTCACAGTATATTCAGAGGACATGTAGCTAGTGGATTGTGAGGAGATGTTTGCTGTATGTGACAAAAACTTTTCAAGCTTAGGAAGACTTAGAGAGCCTTTAAGTGTTCCCGTGTTTTGTCCACAAGCCAAAGATATTTCAATCAGGAGAGACACGTTTTTAGTTTTGGAAAGAAAATGTTTAATTACAAGTGCACATGAGAAATGTGAAAAATGTGAAAAGTCTTTGGCGATTAGACCCCTTCGAGATGTTGAGCTATAAGGAGGGTGATGGATCCGTAGCCAATTAGGGAACCCCCCTGGGGTCTAGACACTGGTGGTGGTAGAGGAAGTGAAGAAGAGATCAGGATAAGATGGATGGGTGCTGATGATCCGGATGAGTAGAGGAATGAGTCTTCAGGTTTGTCTTTGACCTTGGATATGACGGCTGGAGGTGAACGGGGTGGAAGAGGGGCGGTGATTCTGCCTAGAATGACAGCTGAAAGTAGCCTCGCATCACCAGACTCTTCACGTACGAAGAGCCTGGTTTCCATTCACTCTGAATTTTGTCTGGATTCTAGTTCCGGTCTAGAGAGCGGATCCAGAATTCACCAAATTCACCAAAGTGTTCACCAAAGTAAAACTTTAAATTCTGGCGCACCATCGATTTACAATAAAAGAAAAAGGTTAACTTAATGGCTTGGAGCTTTTCTTGTAAATTATATTTTTTAAATTAAAAAGTTTCACCGCATTTTTATTAGCTTGGTGCTTTTATTTTGACGGAAAGGCGCATCTATCGAATTCCGGATCCTGTCTCTCTCGCCCTGGTTCCAGTTCCTTACCAAAACGGCCCAGACTAGCTGAAAGCGGCAGAGGAGAGAACAGATTTAAAATCTTGTAGTGACAACCTGATTGGCTGATGGAGGTTGTGGCTAATTACGATAGGACAGCTACAAGAGTCAGCTGATTGGAGGAAGCAGTGGGAGTGGGAGAGGGAGAATTGTGAATAAATGAGGGCAGCAAGGTCTTCCTGATTGAACTTACGCTGAGCTTCATTCAGTTTACTGTCATAGAAAAGTAAAGAAACCAGAGGATATTCACATTTAAGAAGCTGGTGCTGGTTGAACAAAACACTTGGAAACTGGACACTGGAAAGATCCCATTGCATAAAACCACAGAGCAATCATTAATTGTAAAGGGACTGGAAGAGCAGTTGTGGAAAGTTGAGTGATCCAACTCCAGATGGTCACAATCATAAACTAACTTTTGGTCACATTCACAGCACAAATTATTTGCTCATCATTAAGCGTGTCCATCAGGAAGCCTTATTTTTTCTCATTTATGTCCATAAACTCAGCCAGATGGAGTCAGAGGTACTCTATGTTTTGTCCTTACTTTGGTTACTATGGTCCAACAGTCTACAAGATCAAGACAAAGAGAAAAACTTAAATTGTTAAGTAAACATTTTAAGGAAACCTTAGGAGAAGACTAAGGATGTTTTGTGCAACCAATTTTATCTCAAGAAAACCTTAACTCTTTAAGGAAAATCTTAACTTAAGTTGCTCTGTGCAAGATTTTTTTTTTTTTTTTTAAAAAACTCTACTATAGATATGTTTTTCTTTTGTCTCCAGTGCAATAATTTGTGAAATGTTACCACTCAAGGAAACCTGTGACAGCTTGTGTTGGCATTGCTCCGGCCCAGACCTGACCAGTGTCATGTATAATAATTGAAATCTGCATGATTTTAATGATTACAGTACAGGAATGCTTTGCTGAAACAAGTCCTTTGTTGACATATGAAAGTGTTGAAAGGCTTAACCTAGACTGTTGAGACACTCAGCAAATATAACATTAACTCTGAAACATCCACCAGGACGTGCAGTGAGTCACATCCTATTTAGGATAGAGGACGCTCAACACATTCTCCCCATGCCTCAGTTTGACACACCTACTTAGTGGGCTGACTCTACTTGTGCTCATTTACAGGAGCCAAGTCAATCTGTAACTTACATTTAAGACAAAGCCACCTGCGGACAAGAGAAATGGCTTTCGCTAAGTTGTTTAAGAGGCAGTTGTTGAGGATCTTCTCACTCCTCCTCATGGGTATGTTCCTTACCTTTGTCCTTCGGGAAACTGGCTCCAACAGGCACTCATTGCCTGATATGAGAATACCACAGCAGTTCTCTGTGGACCTGCCTGGCTGCTTGGCTATCATCAGTGGAAATGTGGAGGGCAAGAAAGGTGAATTAGAAGTGCTTCTGGGATCCAGGAAAAGACAGAAACCTTTATCGGAGGACTTCTACTTGAACGTGACAAAGGACTGTCCATCTTACATTGACAAGAGAGGTTTCATCACAGAGCCTCTCAGTGAAGAGGAGGAGGATTTTCCCCTCGCCTACTCCATGGTGATCCATGAGAAGATTGAGATGTTTGAGCGACTTCTGCGAGCTGTTTACTCTCCTCAGAACGTCTACTGTGTGCATGTGGACCAGAAATCCTCTAAAGAATTTCAGAAGGCTGTGGAGGCAATCGTTTCCTGCTTTCCTAATGTGTTTATTGCCAGTAAATTAGAAAGAGTCATCTATGCCTCATGGTCCCGAGTGCAGGCAGATTTGAACTGCATGAAAGACCTTCTGGACTCAAACGTCCAGTGGAGGTACCTGCTGAACACCTGTGGGACAGACTTCCCCATCAAAACCAACGGAGAGATGGTTCAGGCACTGAAGGTCCTCAACGGGAAAAACAGCATGGAGACGGAGGCCACGAACGACTACAAGAAAACCCGCTGGCTGTATCACTACAATGTAACGGACTCTGTAGTAAGGACGGATATAAAGAAAAGTCCTCCACCCATTAGCAGCCCAATGTTCACAGGAAATGCTTACTTTGTGGTCACGAGAGCCTTTGTGAAACATGTGATGCAGGACAGAGAGGTTCAGCAACTCTTGGAGTGGGAGAAAGACACATTCAGCCCTGATGAGCACTTGTGGGCCACCCTACAGAGGATGCCCTCTGTTCCTGGATCAATGCCTGCCAACGACAAGTATGACGTGTCAGACATGCAAGCTCTCGCTCGTGTGGTGAAGTGGGGCTATTTAGCAGGAGATGTGAAAAAAGGAGCCCCGTACTATCATTGCACTGGCACATATAGAAGATCAGTTTGTGTGTATGGAGCCGGGGACCTCCCGTGGCTCCTGGGACAACACCACCTCTTTGCAAATAAGATGGACCCTGAGGTTGATGATATTGCTATTAGATGTATGGAGTCAGTTCTGCGTTTCAAAGCTTTAGGCCATGACCCACTGTTAAGGGATGAATACTCCACTATTTAAAGCTGATAATCATTTGAAATGTGAAATATAGATCGTCTCATTGATATGCTGTTGTTGATGTCACAGCTTTGGTCACCGTTTACTTCCTATCAGGTATCAAGAAAACTACAAGTTTAACAATTATTCGTTTATTGTTTTTGTTTTTTAAGGTTTCCTTGTCAGCTATTGCACAACAAACAGAAAATATATTTGATTTACAATGTTTACATTGTCAAGTTTGAACTGGTCTATAATGTATTAGATATGTATATAAATTATTCTGTGGCTGTTGTTAGTATATTGTTGTGATCTTCTGTATTCTCTTATACGTTTTTAACATTTTTATATTATTGTCAAGTTATTAATAAGGATGTTGTAATTTCTGATAATACTCCTGTCCTTTATTCATGAGATTTCAATTTAATCTGTATTTGTGATGCCATCTAGTAGACTGTAAGTGGAAGGTGTACAAAGCAAAGTTTGGTATTTATTATGTGAATGTTGAATATTTCTTTTGTAACCACTAGAAAACTGTGACCAAAAAAAACAAACAAACAAAAAAAAAAACATACAAAACAATGATGTGGATCCATGACTTTACTTGGAGAAAATGTAACATTAATACCTAACATCTTTGCTTCAGATTGTTGCTCTCACAAATGTTTCCCCTCCACGAGTCAGAGGGCACATTCAGGTGAGAGGTAAAACATTAAACAATATTCCCCCCAGGCAGGATTTTGATTGAGATCGTCAGCAGTGAACAGTGAAAAAAAAAAAAAAAGGTGCTGTCAAAAACTTGTTCTATGAAATGCCACTCGACTGGTCAGAAACCTAAAATGCAGTTTAAAAATCAGAGCAACCATAAAAATATATTAATTTTTCTCCTTTGTCACCTTTTGAATATAAATATATATTTAAATGTAATAAAGCAGAACATGCATCAACCATTTGTAACAGAGTGCCTTAAATAACGTGTAGATTACACCAGGAACTAGGGAACACCAATAAGTAACTAAGTTTGACATGATATACCAGCAGTAGATAAAAAAAAAAAAAAATTAAAGAAAAGATTAAAAACATTTCAGCCAGCATTTGGGAAAAAAATGCTGAAGATCAAGCTTGTAAAAAGTTCCACAATGTAACAGGCAGCACAGTTTTAAAAAGGCACTTTCTTGATGTGAAGCGCTTCAGTCACGTTGCCCAGAACATAAACATAAAGAGTGGCTGCTGGAAAATATTCTCCGCCTCCACATCATGCAGTGCGAGCAGGGTCACTCTGGAACAGCAGCAGCTGCGACCTCCACTTTGCCGTGCATGTCCTGGTCGATTCTGCGGACAGATTCGACAGCCGTCAGACATCTGTGTGATTGGGGTGCCGTCCAACAGGGCTATGATAACTAATGATCAAAGCACCAACAGGCTACTACACTGCTTATTAACACATTGTTCACATATTCATATCCTGCTATGTAATCATTACCTTTACACCACTACAAAGGGGTTTCTTAGAGTGAGAGAGCATTTCTATTTCTTTGTTTTTTACTTACCAGATGTTCAGCATACTTCACTAACTGGATGCAAATTCTGCCTAATATGATCCATGCTCTTTTTACTGACAGCACTGTAAACATTTGGGCAATACAAACCACCAATATCAGTTATATTATTATGAGGTTATTACTTCCCTTGAAACCTTGCAAGACAAACGCACTACTGTGTAATTGTAATATGTAGTGAAGAAGCCCTGAATCAATGTCAGAGAACAGGCTGCGTTCATTATCTGCAGCACAGATAAGTGCAACCTTTGTGCTTAAAATGTGCAATTTTTCCATGTCAATGTGTGAGGTTTCAGCGCATTTGTCTTGCAAGTTTGCCGCTCAACTTCATGCACCCAGCAAGAGAAGTGCAACTAGTTGTAGCAGTGTTGTAAACGCAATACCGAGTCTCCTCTACAACCCCGTGGTTATTACTTTTCTAATCTTCTAACATGCCACGACGTATCTGCAGCTTAATAACCTCACGCCCACTACTTCTCAGTAATGAACAGAAGATTTCTGTGTGCATGAGCCAGGCTGACAGAAGGTTTGTGGCGATTGCTAAACATCAGCTGGGAGTGGGTTTGCAGTGAGTCATGCAAAGAGCTGTGAGAGTGGACAAGCCGAGTGTTCAGTGAGGGCGAGTTACTGAATGGGGGGTGGGGGGGAGACCATGTGAGGACATGGTTACGGTGCAACCACAAAACCACAGTGACTAGGACAACCTATTTCCCTGTTGTTCCACAAACATGAACACACTTACCCAACATCAACCACATCACATTCTAAACCTGGTTTTTAAAGAGACACATGCAGGTAAGTGCCACTTGATGCCCCAACTTTAGTATCAGAAATCAGAAATGCAATAATTTATCTTAAAACTATTCTAAATTGTTCTTCACATAAATTAATAATTCAGCATCACAGTGAAGACAGTACCTGGGCTATAAAATGGGCTACACAGGTACATTTAAAACCACATTCAGATAGCTGATATTATTGTGAGATAATAAATAGAGAACAAATTTAACAAGAGTTGACTTTGAAATGAACTTCACAGAATTGGCTCAGAAATGGGATTCAGTTAGTTAAACAATCACCAAGCCACCTATTTTTGGAAACCAATCAACCAGCTCCTCAGCCTGCTTTGAAGAGAACATCCGAAATCAACTGAGAGGGAAATGTGGGACATTTTGGAAGAGGAAAGTTGCTGATTTCGGCCAGAAGGTAATCATCCGACTAATAACATGTGGGACACAATGAGGTGTATTGGTGCATTTCTGAAAGCCAATGGATCATTTCCTTGTTAGTTTTGTGAAATGCAAAACAAAACAAAAAAAAGGCTGAGACTGACCCTGGGTGAAAGTGCATATACCTTTTACGGCTTTTCCTATTTTTTTCGTCATCAAACCTTAAGATGGGGGGGGGGCAGGGAAATGGAGTCAAGGAAAGGAGAATAACACAGCCAACAGACACCAGATATCCAAAAGAGCAAAAACATTTGATAAGATGAGCTCAACAGTTGTGTGAATCAGCAAAAGTAACACGAGAAAATGACAAATGTGTTCTTTAATTGCTGATCTAGCAGCAGTTTTTTTCAGTAATGTTGACACTTGTTAAAAGAACTCAGACAGTGCATAAAGCTACACTATGCTTTAAATGTGTATTGCACAAAAGAAACATTTAGATATTTACAGTTTGCTTTTGGATCTCTTCTCTATCAGGATACACACAGTGTGAGTAAAAGAATCATGGTTACGGGCAGAAAGCATCTATGATTTTGTAGATTCCTAAATATTAGGGCTTTAAAAGAAGATGAATTGTGCAAAGTTTCAAGTGAGTCAGACTCATAACCACCGACATCTTGTCTACACTGGCCACACAGGAAGAGCAGAGTGTTGCTGTAGCACCACCTACAGAGGAAATGCAACTACAGTTTGCAGGATCAGTCAGAGCTGACACTGTGTATGCACTGAACATGACTAGAAAACCTGTGAGAATTTGGAAACCAATTAAAGGGAAAACAGCAGGCCACATCAAAGGAATATATATATATATATATTTTTTTTTTCTTTTTCATTAGTGTTACAATTGAGCATTAACACTGTCACTTAAGTATAAAAATCTGAGGGTCAAATCACCAGATTTCTAGATTGATTCCTTGTAGTTGTATTTATCAGCTTGCAAACACTACTTTTTCTTTTGACAGGACCTTTCTCTTCTTTTAAAAGAACTTAAAAAGTGCTGATGTATTTGAGTGGCGCATACTTACTGTTTGATACAATCTGGTATGGACACATACTCCATTGGAACTAGTTCTGCGAGGTCTGTCAAGCTGAACACATACTTGATTTTCTGACTAAATTTGGAGCTGTAAAAAGAGAAGAAGCAGGAAATGTCAGTTAGCGGAGAAGATATTTATTTTTAATATTCTAGCTACCTTAATCATAAAGTTACCTTATGAAAGGTTTTGTGAGTGCCAGCAGGGTACGAATAAACCAAGAGGGATGGACAATTATCAAAGACTTCAAGTTCTTCCTTAACCTGGACAAAAAGAGTGAGAGGACATTTTAATCTTGGGCTTGGCCTGTTATCTCTGTGTCTGTCGTAAACTGACACTCACCTCCTATCAATCTGCTGATAACACTTTCTGAGCCAGCCGACGGTCGGCATCTTTTTCCGAGAGGTTGCCCCGTTCAAATACACAATCATATAGTTCTCTGCGACCAAAAGCTCCAGTGTGCCGATGACATATCTGCGGGAATCAGGGAAAATTTCATTAGCGCTGGTTGTGACACGTTAGCTCACGAGGCCAGGGGAAATCAAATAAACACTCACTTGAATAAATTGTCCATGATGTATCTGTAATTTGGTTGATTGCTCTCAGGCATAAAGCACACAGCAAACACAATTATGGCATTCAGGCCATCTCCATAGTAACCTGCAGTGAAAAATCAAACATCAAAAATTTATATTTTAATACCAAAACACTATTTTTATAGGCAAAATCTTTTTTACTTCATATTTTCAATAAACACAGACTGATCATCTCAAATAAACTCACTTATGACTGTATTTATGTGTGTGTGCCAAATTTAATGCTGCTGACCTCCATGGCTGATAACCCTCTTGTAAGGTTCAATGGCCTTCATGTCCACTCTGTGCTCCTGGTCTCCGATACGAAACACCCTCCAGCGTCGTCCCTCCTCTCTCTCATCCGCGGCGGAGTACTCCTGCACTGACTCCACGCCCTTCTGCAGTAGTTCTGTAGTTTTCGGCTTGGGGAGATCGTCTAAAGGAGAGGAAGCATTTTAAACCCACAGCTCGGATGCGACACACCTTGGCTGTCTGATCTATTTTGATTAAATCATTTACTAAATGTTCAGATCACTCAATAATTCATAAATGAACTTTTCAATCACATGCATTTTAATTAACAACCATTAACATTACATTTCATTTTTTGCTTTTATCTTTTGTATGTGGACGGCATGCTTCCTCTCTGAATCAACACCAACAATCAAACTCAACCTCCATGTCTCCCTTTTATTTGAGGTCAGCATTTACAAATACCTGATACAATTTCCTGAGGGAAACCCTGCTATTGTTCCCTGCATGAGAATTAATGTGTCGAACAAGCACTGCTGAAATCCAGTAGGACTTCTGTGCATCTTTTGTAGGATGTGTAGCTGCATGATGTGCACATTAAGCAGACTTGAGGCAAAGAGTGATCATGTATATCAAGCATGCAACAAGCAGAAAATAAGTGAATAGTGCAACCAAATCACCACAACACACTTTATTGAGGATCCCTCTGTGAGCGGCCCATTTCCATAATATACGGAATCAAACACACTGACTAGTGTCTCATCTTTAGAGCCCTGTATGACTCATACAGATATATTTTGCATGGGAATGACTGTAGAATGTTTATGAAATCATCTTCCAAATGAGTCATTTTAAATCCCATGACATAACACTTAAGTGGTAAAATGCCAAACGTAATGTGTCTCCAATTTAAGGATGAATTTATTATGCTATGTATTAGTTTGCTGTGTCATTTCCTGTGATGTGTGATACCTTGTAAAATGTAACACATACACTGACTGACTGCTAACCAAACAGCACGTTAGCAAATTTTAAAATGGCTACTATCTGATAACTGCAGCATTACTGTGCAGACTGAACCACTTCCTAACCAACAAGTTGCTACTGATTGTTTCCTCAAATGTGGGAAATTTTCAAGGAGAGGAAAAATGACATGCACAAAAACATCAACTGAAAATGAGGTGTATGAAACACGAAACCTCCAAATGATTTGTTTCAACAAACTGAAGACAGAACATAATCTGGACAATAGGAGTTGATCGACTCATAGTTGGCAGAGCGAAATGGGTGCTGTCCGAGAGACCTTACCACGAGGAAGAGAGAAACCTGTTGCTGGCCTGCAGCCTGTTTCCAGGCTGAGAATGGAAACAATTCTTCCAAGTGAAAAAGAGGAAGGCAGCAGTGTGGAAACACAAAAATGACAAAGCACATTTTAACTACACTTGAGGCAGTGAGTTGCCTACCCAGAGCTGTAAAATCAGGAAAGGAAAATGCCAATGGAGCCAAGAAGCAGGAAATACATGACTGGTCTGATAACACACTTCCTTCTATGTTACAAGCTAACAAATAAAGAAAGCGAATCTTTTCATAAATATGTTACACAAGTGTGGACTGCATCTGGGTCCACGCATCTTTGCACCTCCCACTTTATCAAGTCAATCTAAACTTTACTCTTTGAACTTTCAGTATTAACAAAACAGGAACAAACAGGGCTAAAAGATACTACGTGCTAACACTGTTTTCATTTTCATCACATGATATGAAGTTCTTACCTTCCCATTCAAACTCATTGCTGTTGTCTGAAGGTGTGTCTATGTCATCGAGGTCCAGCTCTGTGCTTTCATCCAGCTCATCAGACAGAAGAGAACCTTCGCTGCGGTCCAGTGTAAGACTGATGTCTGGAGCTGCAAGCTTCTTCTTTGCCTTCTTGCCATGGTCCATTGCATAGCCTAGGGTAGATGTCAAATCATCAGTGGCATAACTGTTTGTGAGAAC